AGGTCGACCGCTGCCTCGCCTACCTCGCTGACACCCGCGACACCGCCCTGGAGTTCGGCGGTGGACCAGAGTCGCTGGAGCTGATCGGCTATGTAGATGGCGACGACGCGGGCGACAAGCAGAAGCGGACGAGCACGGGCGGCTACGTGTTCGTCTACGGAGGGGCCGCTGTCTCCTGGTCGAGCTCGCGCATCAAGTGCGCGACGCTCTCCTCGACCGAGTCGGAGTACGTCGCGGCTGTAGATGCTGGCAAGGAGGGGCGTCGACTTCGTTTCCTTCTCGCGGAATTCAAGCTGCTCGACGCTGGGAAGCCGACCATCCTTCGCATCGACAACAAGTCGGCAATCACGGTCGCTGAGGGCTTGGGGCTGACGGGCAACCTCAAGCACATGGAGCGACGCTACGCCTGGCTGCAGCACATGGTGAGGCGCGGGAAGTTCAAGCTGAAGTACATCCCAACATCCGAGCAGCCGGCGGACTTCCTGACGAAGGCGCTGCATTTTCCGGCTTTCAACCGGTGCTCTGTCGCCATCGGCCAAGTTCGCCTGGCCAACGTTGGCGACGGCGACAATGATGTGCAGCAGTAGGTGACGTGCCCTTCTGCACGGCTGGTGCAGTGACGGCGTGCTATGTGTGGGGTGCACGCCGGGGACAAGTTCTCTCCGTGGAGTACTGCCGTGTCGGCTGGAGGCCCAAGCGTGAGCACGGCAGGGGAGTGTTAACGGGAATGGAGTGTTGGCCCCGCCCTCGCTTGGGCAACGCCGACGACTTGGTCGGATGTACGGAAGTAGCAGCCTACCGTTCACAGTGGGAGAGCTGCTCGACAGGCTACGTCGAGCTGCAGGGGACCGCTGTGGTGCTGCTGCCGATCAGGGAGCTCGACAGCTGCAACTGACTGGCCTGGGCGACGGGTGGGCCGTCCGGGAGGTCGACGGAGCAGTCCGTCGACCTGCAATTCGACCAGAGGGTCGATGGAGCAATCCGTCGACCTACAGTTCGACGGGGAGGTCTGCGGAGCAGTCCGTCTACCTGACAAGTGAGCAGCGGTCGACGAGGGGAGCTCGGCGACAACCGCTGACTGTTTTGGTCGACAAAACAAAAAAAAATCCGTCGACCAGGGGATGCTCGACGGGGGCTACGGTCGACCAGAGTACATAGTGCTTGACAGGAGGCACCTTGCGGCCGACCAGAAGCACCTGGTGGTCGGCCGAAGGACCTGGTGGTTGACTAGAGGCACCTGGTGGTCGACCGGGAGCATCTGGTGGTGTCCAGGTCGACCAGGTAACCTGCTCGACGAGTTCTGCGGAGGCACGCGAACGTCGTCGAGGTCGCGATGGCAAAGGCGTCTGTGGGATGGTATCCCGAAGTCGATGTGGCTCGTCAGGCGTAGGCAACAGCCGACGGATGCCCAACTAGGCAAGTCGGGCCAATCGTCTGCGCGCACCTGCGAGCGTGCGCACTGCTGTCTTCTACGGGGCAACGCTGGACAGCCGCACAGCTGCAGCGTTGGCACGCCGTCGACCTGCAGTGTTGGCAGGTCGCTCTTCTGCAGTGCTGGCGCGGCTCCTCTACGCAACGCTGGCACGCGGTCGACCATGCAGTGCTGGCGGTCGACCAGGCTAGCTGCAGAGTTGCTAGGTGCCTGATGTAGTCCATTCTGTCATTGCTTGTTGATTCATTCTGTAATTCTCCAACTTTGCTAGTGGAAACTCTTGCCAATCTCTCCCGTGAATGCGCAAGTGCTAAGGAACCAAGCAAAGCTACAATCACTCCTAGTAGTTCGTGCCAACCCCCGTAGTCTAGCTCACTACCGTTGTAGAGTGGATCTCCGCAGAGCGTGGCCTGATTAAAGGCGCCGGCGCTTCTATCTGGAGCCATGCGCTTATGGCCGGTCCTCAATTATAAGCGCACCCCATAGAATCCCTAAACCTTTTATAAGCGCATCCCTTCCCCCCAGGGAGTAATCTTTTCACTATTTACCTACCAGTACGCATTATGATGTTTTACATTCCTAGCTAGAATCTACGCGTCGTCTGACTCCGGCTCCTCGTAGTTATTGGCAAAGAATCTGTTGGCGATGATGCCGTCATCAACGTTGACCTCGTGGGTCAGCTGGCTCCGCCTGTGCGCCATGGCAAGGTTGTCCTCACTGCCGTCAAGCGCGTTGCTGATGCCACAGGTGAGGAACGCCTTCTTGATAACCTCAGATGGCACGGCCTTCTAGGCCCGTAAGATCCACCTGAGCACCACTGCAGGGGGCGGCTTCTTGATGTTCCCTGCACCACAAGTTAGAGTACAAGGGAGATGCAGTTAGAACAACATACGGGGGGAAATCAAGCCACTGTCAAACAATCAATGGTGAGTGTTTTGCCTGCAGGCGTCAACTGCTACTGGACCTCCTCTTCAAACCAGGTTTGGTAACGCTTGCGGATGGAGGCTTTAAAGGTCTTGTTGATCGAGACGTCGAGGGGATGCACCTCCGTCGTACTACCCGAGGGGATCACAGACGGCACGATGTCCGAGTCTTCGGACCACGGCATCCGTAAGGTGCCCGCGGACTACCGCTAACTCGCCTTCCACTTCACATTGAGGAAAAGAAGCTTCACCAACTCCCTTGACCACTCCTGCAGGCGACGAACGGGGACGGCAGTTCCTTTGCGGCGCCAGTCGAGAAGCTTTGCGTAGACTTTCATCTCTACCGGCCTGTACCACGAGTACCTCCCGCGCCCGTGCATCCGCTTCCGTAATGAGTGCGCCCTCGAGCATGGCGGCGACTTTCTTCCACTCAGCGAGACATTTGCGGTGGATTCCCCGACTCGCGAGACAACGCCCGCAACGACACTGCCACATCCATGCGTGCAGCAATTTGTTGTGTGATTAAAGTATTATAATGAGTCTACTTTGATGACTACGGACCTCACAGTCAATCAAAACTGATTCGCTGTGTTGAATGTAGAATATAGAATAAGATAGAAAGGTTCTGATTGAAAACTCCTTAAGGGGCGCTCCGGAACGAGGTTCCCTAAACGATTCGGTTGAGCGAGCAAGCGACATTCTAAACTTAGGTTACGGGTACAAGTTCTTCGGCGCCTTCGACTCCCCGCGCCGGTTCGCTAAGAAGTTTGCTCGCTCTGACCAACAAAGCGTTGGCGCGAAACCTTCGAAAACGACCTTGTCATGCAAAGCAAGCTCATTTTTACCCCGAGACAAAAAAGCGCAACAAAAAGTTGTATCCATTTAGGTTAAGTTAACCTAAGACACGCATTGCTGTCGATGACTCGGCTTCCGAACCGTACGTGATAGTCCCCTATCATACGGCTCTTCTTAAGATTTCATGTCTTCGTTTGGCGTGACAATGCAACTGGAAGAGAGGGCGCGTAGCGATGGCTTACAATTCAGAAAGAAATCAAGAAATAGAAAAAAAAAAAAACAAACAAACAAAAAACAAAAACAAAAACAAAAAAAACACGTTAACTAGCCTACTTTCACTGTGACTACAGCTTCTCCTACGCGGTATAAGCGTTACGCTTATGCTGCGATGGAGTGTGCCTGGAAGAGGGGGGAAACGTAGGAATAAGAAGTTTCTCGAGAAGTCCGTCGTGCGACCAATACTCCTCACCGTCATCGTCGTCGCTGCCCGGGGCGCCCTCGGGAAACACATCTGCCCCGGTGCCGGCCTCGGCGCCAGTGTCTGTGCCAGCCTCGGTGTCGGCCACATCGTCGTCAGCGCCCACAGCAGATTTGTCCCACACGCAATCTTGCGGCTGGCCCCATCGTGGTGCCGGGGGAGGAGCTCGAATGAAGACGTCTGGGAGCTTGTTGCTTTCAGGTTTCGACAGGTACTCGTCGAACGCCCACGGGTGCAGGAGCGTGAGCACGGGAGGATTCGATGGGCCTGCAAACACGGGTGGATTCGGATGAGCATGAGAAGTTGGAGCTGCAGGTAATGGACGATATGGCGGCGCAGGTGGCGCCGGAGGCTGTGGTGGCTCCGGGGGCGATGGTGGGACACGGTTATACCAGCCGTCAGCGCCAACTCGAAAGGCAGGCCTAGGCTTCTTTTTGAAAAGGAAATGCGTGCCGGTGAATTCCGATATGACTTTCGCAGCCTGGCGGGCAAAACATGGGAAACCAAATCCAGATGTGCAAGAAATTAGAACAAATGAACTTCTAACGGGACCCCTTCGGGGAAGCGGCTCGTGGTCTTCGTCAATGATAGACGGGTACCCGACAGCCTGAACCCGCAGAGGAGGGTAATGGGCGCCGCACATGCTGCGGTGGCAGGGCATATTCGATCCACTTCTAGAGGGATCGGATGAGATGTCCCTGCCTGGCAACGCTTGACAGCGTGATTGGTCCATATGTGTTGCTCTGGAACAAGTTTTGTGCGGTGGGAAATCGGGTCGCAGCTGTTTTCGCCGACATTTCATGCACGAAACCGACGGGAACGCTTCACGGTCGTATTCGCCTTACCAAGAGCTTCGATTTGGTATCCATAAAAACAAAACTCATTTTTTTGTTTCCATTTCCTGAGTGCATGCGTTTATGCCCTTTCCTCAATCACAAACGCCCCCCATAAAATGATCGATTTTAGTATAGTCGATTGTGCGCTACTATCCGGGGAAAATATGGTAATGATAGGGATGAGTTTGAAAAGTACTGTTCAAAGTGAACAGTAAATCCTCCTCTAACAATAGGTGTCCTAGATGGTGTACGTGTGTATGGTTTGCTTAGGGCGACGTTAGGTTAGACAGTTCTCGTGGGCTCACAGTTCCTGTATCGCGGTTCAAGACGGTCTAACACGGTGAAAAGCGGTTCTCAAAGTTTACTGCTCTGCACCGTGTTGAAACGAAGGTAACCGCAGTGGGCGTACAAAAAGTTGTACAACCTGACGTCGCCCTTACTGATGGAAACGGTACAATCAACCGCATATTGGAAATGCCACTGGCATACTGGATGAGACTTTAGCGAGCGCATTGAGAGTCGGGGGACTTACCCACATGTCCATTTCCCCGCACCCCACGCCATTCTTCATCCCACAGGAACGGGTCGGGGGAACTTCCGGCTTAGCGCCGCCTGCTGGTTTGCGCCGCGGGTTCGTCGCGCAGCCCCACGATGAGCGCGCGTCGCGCGTTGTCGCGCTCGCTCCACCAGCTGGTGCGCCGCCCGACTTCTCTGCCACGTGCCCTCCCGGGGTTCGCTGCCCTCCCCACCCTAACACACCGCTGCGCTTCTCCTTCTTTTCTCTCCGCTCCTCGCCGTTATTTTCCTTTCTCCAGCTCGTCTCTCCTCTCCCTCGCTTCGTCTTCTCTCCCACTCGTCCTCGCCATGCGTTTCCGTACATCATTCGGGAGGGGCGCGTGTCTTGCCCCTTGCCCCACAGCCAAGGGTTCGGAGTCCCTATTTCATGCCATGCTACCCAACCCCCTCGAAAACAATTTTGGGATGCATGTATTTCATGGATGCAAGCCGCGCTCGCCCCCTGCTGTGTGTGCCGCTCTCACTCCCTGCCATGTGTGCCGCGCTCACCCCCTGCCATGTGTCCCGCGCTCACGCCCTGCCATATGTGCCGTGCTACCATGCAGGTGGGCTCTCTGTCGTCGACCATCCGCGCTGCCCCGCTGCGACCCTCACCATCGACGCCGCCGCTGCCGCTGTCACGCTTGCTACCACGCCAGCCACCACCATCACAGCTGCAATCCCCCCACTCGCTCTTCGCTCCCCCGCACCACCTCACTGCCATTCCCAAGGGTTGCAACCTCGCTGCTCCCAACATTGCCACGTGGCAAGTGGCGCCCGGCGGTTTGGCAGGTGGCATAAGGCAGCACGTTCGAGCATTCACCCTCACATGCCTTCGCGGCCGTGCAGTGGCGAAACCCGGACTACCTTTGGGTCCGCTTCTGCCACGTGGCAGCGGCTCATTGGCTGCCCCTGCCCTGTGGAAGGGACTTTCTCTTGGCGGTACGTACCCCACCAATCACAGCCTGCGCGCAAACGACGGGATGCTGGCATGCCTTCCCCACCTCTCGTACTTTCTCTTGGGGAAGGGCATCGCTCATATCTCCAGCATTTTGCTCGTGTCTCCCCTCCTCCCTGTCCTCCCCAATTCCACCCGTCGTGTGCTTGACTCACCGCATCGCTCTTATTCCGTGCAGCATGGCGTGACACCTTGCTACATCACTGTTCATTCTGTATCATATGAAATCACAGCTTCTTGCACTTGCACCCACTGCTCACTCCCCTCTGGCCCTTCCCCCTGCAGTGCAGTGCGCAGCAGTGGCATCTGCTGCCCTGCTGCCCTCCAAGGCCGCTGCTTGCACTGACGGTGAGAGCACAGGGGGGAGGTTAATGGTGAGAGGAGGGGGGAAATGGCGGTGAGAGGAGAGGGGGGTTTTGGTGAGAGGGAAGGAGGATGGTGGTGCGATGAGGGGAGGATGGTGGTGAGTGGAGGGGGGGGTGGTGGTGAGAGGAGGGTTGGATTGGATGGTGATGAGCGGGGAGGAGGATGCTTGAGAGAGGACGGGAGGATGATGGTGAGAGGAGGGGGAGGACGATGTTGGGAGGTGACCGTTTGTGATGGCTGTGATAAGAGCAAGGAAGTGGCAAGGGAAGGGGCTGGACGAGGTGGTGCTGTGATGCCAGCATCAGCCATTGCCAGAGAATGCTGTTCCTTCGTCCCTGCCTTCCCTCCCTCTCAGCATTCTGAACCAGCCAGGCCCTCATGCGCCCCACCCACCCACATCCATCCATTCCACCCTCACCCCCACTCCTATTTCCCCCGCCCCTCATTCCCCCGCCCTCATCCTTCCCACCCTCATCTCACCCACCCTCATCCCTCCCGCCCTCATCTTTCCCACCCTCATCCCACCCACCCTCATCCCTCCCGCCCTCATCTTTCCCACCCTCATCCCACCCACCCTCATCCCTCCCACCCTCATCCCTCCCACCCTCATCCCTCCCACCCTCATCCCTCCCACCCTCATCCCTCCCACCCACCCTCATCCCTCCCACCCACCCTCATCCCTCCCTCCCACCCTCATCCCTCCCACCCACCCTCATCCCACCCACCCTCATCCCACCCACCCTCATCCCTCCCACCCTCATCCCTCCCACCCACCCTCATCCCCGTCCAACAGCAATTTATGGCATCGCTGCACCCTCACTTCCCTGCCCTCAATTTCTAGTTGTTTGTTCCCCCTCTCTCCTCTCCTTCCGACCACCCTCCCCTCTCCTCCGCCCCATTCTCTTCTCCCGAACACCACCGGGAACATCCCGCCTCACAATGGCAGCAACAGCAGCGGCCGTGCGGGCATCACTGCGCTCGTCTTGCTCCTTGCTCACCTCCCCTTTTCTGCTGCTTTTGACTTCTCTCTCCGCGCCTCCCACCTCCCTCCTCGTATCCCCCCGTCCTCCCCTCCTTCCTCTCCCCCTCCCAGCTCCCCAGTCTCCACCCCCTCTCAGCAGCAGCAGCAACGACGACGATGACGTGTCGCTGCTGGCCGTGCTGAGGGTGCTGGTGGCGCAGGTGTGGCCGCTGCTGGTGCTGCTGGCCTCCCTCTTCGCCCTGCACGACGAGCCCTCCATGGCGGCGGCCAACCTCGCTCTGCTCTGCTGGGGGCTGCGGCCTGATGAGCCCAGCCTGCACGCCTGGCTGGGGCAGGTGCGGTGTGGGGCAGGTGCGGTGTGGGGCAGGTGCGGTGTGGGGCAGGTGCGGTGTGGAGCAGGTGCGGTGTGGGGCAGGTGCGGTGTGGGGCAGGTGCGGTGTGGGGCAGGTCCGGTGTGGAGCAGGTGCGGTGTGGGGCAGGTGCGGTGTGGGGCAGGGCAGGTGGGGTGTGGGGCAGGTGGGATGTGGGGCAGGTGGGATGTGGGGCAGGTGGGATGAGGGCAGGTGGGATGAGGGCCGGTGAGGAAGGGTGCACTGGCAAGTGCAGTGGCGAGAGCAATCAAGTTGCAATCATGGGGGGCAGGTGAGGTAAGGAGCGCATTGGCTCCTGTTGTGTCACATCTGCTGTGCGCTGTGCTTCATGTGCTCGGCTTTCCGATGGTGCTCGTTATAGTATGATGCTCGTTATAGTATTCTGCTCATTATAGTATACTGCTCGTTATAGTATGCTGCTTGTTATAGTATGCTGCTCGTTATTCTATGCCGCATGATGCCTTGTGGGATGAAAGCTGTGCTGTATGTATGGCTTTGTGCATGGCAGGATGTATGGCAGTGTGCATGGCAGGATGCATGGCTTTGTGCATGGCAGGATGCATGGCTTTGTGCATGGCAGGATGCATGGCTTTGTGCATGGCAGGATGCATGGCTTTGTGCATGGCAGGATGCATGGCTTTGTGCATGGCAGGATGCATGGCTTTGTGCATGGCAGGATGCATGGCTTTGTGCATGGCAGGATGCATGGCTTTGTGCATGGCAGTATGCATGGCAGTATGCATGGCAGTATGTATGGCAGTATGCATGGCAGTATGTATGGCAGTATGCATGGCAGTATGCATGGCCACAATGTAATCGCCGTCGAGCTTCAAACTAAATATTATTCATGGTTGCATGATCTGTCTATGGCATTGCGTGAGCACATGAATGGATGCACGCATGAATGGATGCACGCATGTTACACAGAAGCGAAACGAGGAGCTCAAAGATAAGAATGGCCTTGATTGGGCCACATCGCACGTAAGTTTTTCCACGTTGCTTTCACTTCGTGTACAGAATCTAACTCTTCTTCCCAGCTCATTTCATTGCGATCTGTAATCTCGCATGCCGCAACTCCATGTTATGTTCATAAATATTGTTTGAATTGCGAATTGATTTTCGTCGTACATCATGCCATGTGTTGTATCTGGAATGACCATTCACATGCTAAAGTCCAAGATCTTGGCGGTGTAGGGCAGTGATCACCTCGTAGTTCCACCGGGTCACATCCATGCCGCATATTTGACAGTGGTCACTGATGCCCATATTCATCATACGTTTTCATCATACGTTTTCACCGTACGTTTTCATCATACGTTTTCATCATACATGTCCATGACATCTAGATAGTACATTCTACTAGTAGGAGAATACCTTTAGGCCTTTAGACTTCTTGGACACATGACCAACAATGTTCATCGCACATGGGCTGTGGTGTGGTGGCAGGTGATGGGAGCTGTGGTGAAGGTGGAGTATACCGACTGCTGGGTCTTCTCCCTCGCTAAAGTGTCATCCATTACAAGCAGCTATACTGTACTCGGCATCCTCAACAACTGGTTCACTCTATCCACCACCAAGCAATCCTTGCAATTTCCAGGCCTTAGAGACCGAGACTCTGATCAGTGAGCTGCTCGCGTGTTCTTCTTGTGTTTATGGGAACTAATGATATTTAACCGGGTTTTAATAGCTCAGCACATCACCGGTGTCATTGTGATAATTAGCTTGATATGGTATTTTTACATAATCGAAGGGCATTTGAATAGTACCGTCATCACCTGGATATAAGACAGTGTTGAATAGAAGACAGTGGGTGTCTATTATCAGGGTGTCTCTTATAAACGGGTTAGCCTCATTATAAGACACATTTGTGTGTACGAGTTAAGCCGGTGTAGCGGTTAGGGGCAATTGTATAACGAGGGGGTACCGTATCGCCCCAGATATAGGCGCCGTCCGATTAAGGGCGCCGGCGCTTCTATCCGGAGCATGGCGCTTATGGCCGTTCCTCGATTATAGGCGCACCCCATTTTGCACCCGTACTTATTAGAAGCGCATAATTTGAAACATGCATTAAAAATTTTCTATTAAACACTTACAATTAGCATCTTCAGAGGCTTTTCATTAAGAATCTAGAACTAACAAATATAACCACCTCCTTCAAACTCAATGAACAGGCCTTCACAAAGGCCTTTCTACCAAGGCACCAACTACCACTACCTACTTCTCCTCGTCAGACTCGGGCTTCTGGCAGTTGTTGCCAAAGAAGCCATCGGCGATGATGTCGTCGTCGACATCCACCTCGGCGGTCAGCTGGGTCCGCCTGTGCGCCATGGCGAGGTTGTCCTCGCTGCCGTCGAGCGCGTTGCTGATGCCACAGGTGAGGAAGGCGCGCTTGATGAGGTCGGCGGGCACGGCCTTCCACGCCCGTGAGATCCATCGTAGGACCACTTCTTGAGATTCCCTG